ATGTTCAGAGACCTCTGGCATCAGTTAAGCTCTTTTTTGTCACTTCATAAAGGACGGGGTAATGAGAAGTCTTATTCATTTTTCCATACTTTCGCCTACCAACGTGATTATAATGTTAATCAAATCCTTTTTCCCCTTTTAGAGACTGCAACGAGGGATAGGTAAGCTTGTTAAAGCAGCGCATTTGTGTTCGTTTATTTCATTACTTAGGTCTTATCACTGATTCCGCTTAATAATTTCGCTATTTGAAATGTGCTACTTCAATGGAGAAATACGCCGTGGTGGCCTGGTGTTTAGTGTTCTGAACCCAGGTCAAGCGGTCTGCGTTCAAGCCCTGCCAGGGTCATTGTGTCGTGTTCTTGGGTAAGACGCATTACTCTCACAGTGCCTCTCTCCACTAAGCACTATAAATGGGTATTGAAGAATAAAATGTTAGGAGGGAACCTTGCGATAGACTTGCAGCCCATTAACGGGGAGAAGCACAAAACTCCAAGTCCGTTCAAAGGTCCTTAGTACTTTTGGAATAATGAAGCCTCCCATTTCACAAGCTATTTAAGACGTTTTATGTTTTTAAAAAGCTAAAGCTAGTCTAGTCCAAAACATGTTAGGTCTGACACTTAAAGACCTTGGGTCGGGATCTGGGACGAATTCATAACCATGTATTTTGAGGTGCCATATACGACAAACTGAGCCACCCTGGATACTACGTATTTGAATGTGGATTTTCTTCATACATTGTGAGAAAACTAGTATGTTGGTTATTTTTTAGGATAAATGGAACGGCATCTAATGAAGAAAGAGGCAAACTACATGTAGGTCTTTACGTCACAAAAAATGCATTTCAAAGAAGTTAATATAGAGTATCACATGACTGGCCTTTTACGTGACTGTAATTAACCCTTTGATGGGAGGGACGAGGAAGGGGGGAGGGGTGTAAGACGTTGAGGCCATCAACCTTTCATACTTAGAGCATTATAACTATGGCAATGGAACTTGGAGGATTTGTAGCACGTCCAAACATATCTCCTTTGAAGTCCATATCATAGAGAGATGACGTTATATGACGTGAAATAGCGTTATCATATCTGAACAGACGCCATCTTTGAGCCATCGTGCGTAAGGTATATTGTTACAGACAGTCAAAAACCGACAAAGAAAACTTACAACATCAAGAAGGTTAATGAAATTAAGAATGACAGAAAAAAATACCTCTGAAAATACGGTTGCCCTGGAAACATCAAGATCCTTGACCAATGAAATGGGATACTTCTTTCTTTCTAGATAAATTTTAGGTAAGTCGTCAAATTTGAAGTTCATTGCTATAGCGCTTTTGAAGTTACAAGCGCCATTCAAAGTTGGAAGGCGCCACTAAGGTTTTCGTTACCCTTCTGGTCTGAATTAGTTATGTAGTGAAGTCAGATCAACTTACATCTCCCTATCAGAAAAAGTAATTTCTAAACGTCAACTCTGTGTTAACAATATCTCTCGCATTAGACTCAAATGGAAATGGATAACATTGGACTGGACGAAGATCCCGCCAGGATTCANTCAGAAAAAGTAATTTCTAAACGTCAACTCTGTGTTAACAATATCTCTCGCATTAGACTCAAATGGAAATGGATAACATTGGACTGGACGAAGATCCCGCCAGGATTCAAAATTCTGGAGATTCCCTTCAAAGCCAATACACGTCATTGAATCAGGCTTCTCGCTTAGAAAACGCATCAGAAGATAGAGAGAATAATTTTTCATCAAACGCTACATCAAGCAGCCAATACGCACCTCTTAATCCGTCGACGCGCTCCTGGGAGGTTCCTAGACACCATGTAACTCTAGAAAAGATCATTGGTAAAGGTGCGTTTGGTCAGGTTGCCAAGGGAACAGCAATAAGTCTTCGAG